TTTAAGCAGAGGATTTTATACTAATCAACATCATAGCATATCACCTGGTGAACAATTTTTATTTTCCATTTCCCAGTCTCAAACTCTGCACAGTTCCCAGGTGACACCAGAGCTTCAGTGTCCATTTCTGCTTCTTTCAGGATGATCACATTGCCCATCAGGACATTATTCCCTGTGTATGTACTGTTTTGCTTTAAATGATGTCAAAAAGTAATTTACACCTTGTGTTCAAGACTGCCTTCAACCTTTTGCAGGGTTGTAGCTGTTCCCAGAGGCAAGGCGAGAAACCTTCAGGTCGAGGCGAGTACTTGTATTTCTAGGTCAATAGTGTCGAACTTCTGCCCTTTGGGCTAACCTGGGCCTAGCAGGCTCCCCCATTTGGTCTGTCAGGCCATTTGGGGCAAGCCAGAGCCACCTGCACTACACCTGATGTCATAAAAGGTAAAGGGACCCCTGACCATTAGGCCCAGTCGTGGCCGACTCTGGGGTTGCGGCGCTCATCTCGCTTTATTGGCCGAGGGAGCCGGCGTACAGCTTCTGGGTCATGTGGCCAGCATGACTAAGCCGCTTCTGGCGAACCAGAGCAGCGCACGGAAACACTGTTTACCTTCCCGCCGGAGTGGTACCTATTTATCTACTTGAACTTTGACGTGCTTTCAGTCACAGCAGAAATGTTGTGTGGTTCCTACCCAAAAAATGAAGGAAGGAGCAAACCACAAGGCAAAGTTTGAGATGGTGTGTGGTTAAGCCCTCTGTCCTTCAACCACATTCAAGCTTGAAAAATGTAACTATAGCTCCTCCAAATGGAAAGAAAAGTAGTTGCAATGTAGACTCTTCCGTTTCTACACGGCTACTAAAGAAATCCTCAGCGAAATTTTGCCCAGTGACATACTATACACATTTACTAGCACTCTTTGTCAGGGAGTGGGGTGGGAGGAGAGAACACTTCGCAAGATAACCATTTCATGTTGATTTTTCTGAGCTGCATTACAGCTACTGGGCATCCAACAGTTTCTTCACGTTTTGTTAAGATACATTTCTGGGCTGCACGAAATTTTGGTCAACATCCAAGGGTGATTTCATATGGCCATCTTTTTGGGGTGACTTTAATGAAAATGAAACTACTATATACTAACAATGGTGAAGAGGCTTTCATTCAGCCTCTTTCATTTTGGATACGGTACGACACTTTTTTCAACAGAGGATGCTCATTTGTTAAACTGTAAGTGATTGGTGTAGAATCTACTGAGTGATGCAATGGGTTTCCAAGGTTTACATTAGGTAAAGGGTAAAGGGACCCCTGACCATTAGGTCCAGTCGTGACTGACTCTGGGGTTGCGGCGCTCATCTCGCTTTATTGGTCGAGGGAGCCGGAGTACAGCTTCCGGGTCATGTGGCCAGCATGACTAAGCCGCTTCTGGCAAACCGGAGCAGCGCACGGAAACGGCGTTTACCTTCCCGCCGGAGCGGTACCTATTTATCTACTTGCACTTTGACGTGCTTTCAAACTGCTAGGTTGGCAGGAGCAGGGACCGAGCAACGGGAGCTCACCCCGTCGCGGGGATTTGAACCGCCGACCTTCTGATCGGCAAGTCCTAGGCTCTGTGGTTTAACCCACAGCGCCACCCGCGTCCCTTAACGTTTACATTAGACTACCTGTAATTTCTCTCTCACTTCACGATTGTAATTATGTGCAAAATATACATACCGTACAATGTGGGATTCAGAATGTGCTGGAACAGTGCTGGGGCACCAAGCAAACTATAATGGAAAGAATGGCATTTTGGCAATAGGCTCACTGATTATAATCACTCCTATGCAACTGCCTCTGCACAGATACACAATGTTGTTATTATTGAGTTGCATAATTGCATATCTGTAGATTGGTGAAGTCCCAGCAGTTGTTGATCTTTAATAAGCGCGTGCTTAGCCTAAACATGAAAACATCTGCATGAACAAAATCTATTGTTTTCTGCATTTTGATTTCTCCCCTCCTGTGTTGAAAGTTCAGTATATGCTCCTATGTACGGAAACCAGCATTTTATGATTACTGTGCATGCAGTGTGGATGCGTAAATATAAATATATCTTCTACAATTGCAGGGAACAAGATGCCTCCTGCTACGAGCACAGACTACTACAAAGATGTAACAACCTCAGAATACGTTTATGATGAAACAGCAGAACCATGCCCAAGTGCCAGTGTTAATGAATTTGCTTCCCAGTTCCTGCCACCGCTTTACTCTTTGGTGCTCATATTTGGCTTGCTGGGCAACTCACTGGTGGTGCTGATCCTCATCAGATACAAGAAGCTCAAGAGCATGACTGATATCTACCTGCTCAATTTAGCCATCTCGGACCTGCTTTTCATCTTCACACTCCCATTTTGGGCTTATTACGCAGCGCACGAGTGGGTATTTGGAGATGCAATGTGCAAAATTCTCTCTGGGATCTATTACGTAGGCTTCTACAGCGGAAGTTTTTTCATAATCCTTTTGACCATCGATCGATATCTAGCCATCGTCCATGCTGTGTTTGCATTAAAAGCCCGGACAGTTACCTATGGCATCCTCACAAGCGTTGTCATGTGGGGCGTGGCACTCCTAGCCTCTGTGCCGGTAATGGTCTTTAACAGATTACAAAAGGAAGACAATCGTTCCGTGTGCACTCCTCATTTTTCTTATGAAAATCAGATTGTCTGGAACCAGTTCTTTACACTGAAAATGAACCTTATAGGCCTGATCTTCCCAATGATCGTCATGACCTTCTGCTATGCACAGATCATAAAGACTCTAATGAAATGCAGGAATGACAAGAAGAGCAAAGCGGTCCGGCTGATTTTTATCATCATGATAGTTTACTTCATTTTTTGGGCCCCATACAACATTGTTCTTCTGCTACAGACATTCCAGGATGCATTTGATCTCAGCAATTGTGCCTCCATTAGTAATTTGGCTATAGCAGCGCAAGCGACAGAAACAATAGCAATGGCTCACTGCTGCATCAATCCTGTGATCTACGCTTTTGCTGGCGAGAAGTTCAGAAAATATGTTTGCAGCCTTTTCCGAAAGCATGTGGCTCTCCACCTTCCAAAAACATGCCTCTCTCTGTATACAGAGCCCCTGGAACGTGCCAGTTCTACATACTCCCAGTCTACTGGGGAGCATGACATGTCGGCGGTGTTGTAGTGGCTTTCTAGAGAGAAAAAGTAAAACTTACTTCTGCCGGTGCAACTTACCAGATCCATTTGAGCTTTGCAGTCTAAACTCAGTTTAAAAGGGCTGAGTTGCTTCCGACAAAAGCCGCTTTTATGGCAAGAGAGAAGATCTGGGTCGGATGTATACTGTAATTGCTTGGCTTACGTCAGCTCACAAGCTGAGTGATAAACAAATGTTACATGCAAGGACACCGGAGATGTTATGAACATCACCAGGGGTTTAATATCAAGCACATCTTATACGCTGCTCTCTGTTGCCTTTGAAATGCATGTGTGTCTTTTTTAATGCAAATGTATGCCAAATCTAATCTTATACGAATGTCTGCACAAATTAGCATGCTATATGGAAGTGAGAGCTGGACCATAAAGAAGGCTGATCGCTGAAGAATTGATGCTTTTGAATTATGGTGCTGGAGGAGACTCTTGAGAGTCCCATGGACTGCAAGAAGATCAAACACATCCATTCTGGTCCATGGGGTCACGAAGAGTCGGACACGACTAAACAACTAAACAACAACAACAACAAGTTCCTTGCACAAGGGAGCCTATTGCTCTGTCCTTAAGGACACTAAACACCCTGCTCCCACACCCAGTTTGTTTTCTGCAAGGTCATGCATTAACAGACAAAAACCATGTCTTCATTTCACCACCTGCAGCTAGAATGTTGGAAGGGAGCAATGGCTATCTAGCGCCTTCCTGCTTAACACGATCATCCACTTTCCGGTCCCCGACAGATCAAACTATGCATCTAAACTATGTTGCATCTGAAGCAAAGGGAAGGTAGGTGCACTGGGAAAGCTGGTTGCAGAGTAAATAGCAGCGCAATTTCCTTCCCAGTTCCAACCATGGCAAACTGAGCCATTGGAATGCAGACAACCTACCCGCCAACTCTTCCCAAGGAAATTATACTGGGTGCAAGATCACTGCACTTAACGTCTGGTCTAATGTTGGTTCGAGGCCTTGTACTGTAATGATGCTGCAAGCCTGATTGGCAGTAGTTTTCCTTGACAGCTTCTGTGAAGAGAGAGAGAGAGAGAGAGAGAGAGAGAGAGAGAGAGATGGATTATCATTTGGGGAATGTACAGTTGTACCTTGGTTTTTGAATAGCTTAGTTCTCGAATGTTTTGGCTCCCGAACGCTGCAAACCCAGAAGTGAGTGTTCCGGTTTATGAACTGTTTTTGGAAGCCAAACTTCCGACAGAGCTTCCGCGTCTTCCAATTGGCTGCAGGAGCTTCCTGCAGCCGATCAGAAGCCACGCTTTGGTTTTTAAACGTTTTGGAAGTCGAACGGACTTCCGGAACGGATTCCGTTCGACTTCCAAGGTACAACTGTATTAGGCTGGGCCTGGAACAGGTATACAGTGGTACCTCAGGTTACATACACTTCAGGTTACATACGCTTCAGGTTACAGTCTCCACTAACCCAGAAATAGTGCTTCAGGTTAAGAACTTTGCTTCAGGATGGGAACAGAAATCGTGCTCCGGTGGCGTGGTGGCAGCAGGAGGCACCATTAGCTAAAGTGTTGCTTCAGGTTAAGAACAGTTTCAGGTTAAGAACAGACCTTTGGAACGAATTAAGTACTTAACCCGAGGTACCACTGTATTCATTCAGATTGATCTGGGTTATAGCACATTGACAGGCTGGAGTTCCTAGTCAGCTGAGAGTCGATTGTCAGGGAAAGGAAGTTAGATTTCTGTGGAGAAGTGAGTGGATGAGAGAGGTTTGAGGGGAAAGGTCCGAGAAAAAGGCTAATGAGAATAGCTAAAGTCTGGATACAAATGTCAGCTTGTTATTAATACCTGTCTGGTGAAGATCAGGAGAAAGGAGTCAGCGGCGGAGGTGATCTGAAAAAGCTGCCCTGGGCAAAAGTCTTGCCAGAGGAAGGTTACACAAATGGGTTTTTTAAGTTGGCCTAATTGTCCAAGCAGCCAGAACTACAACCAGAAGAGCTTTGGGGTACAGAGGCAGACTGTCCCCCAACAGAGGCTGGATGGAGTTGTCAGAGTATTTTGACTGGGGTGGAAGTTCAGGGAATTCAGCCTCAGATAAAAGCTACTTAGAGGCTGGTGTCAGCAACAGGACCTTTAAAGTCTTCAGAAACCATAATCGAGCACCTTTAAGACCCCAATGCAAATATCAGTATTCCCTTATGTACATAGTACCTTTTAATAAACCAACAAGCTTAAAGTTCAACCTATCTCTCGTGTTGGCATCCATCTCCAGCCTAAACTTTTTATATCAGCTACCAGGCTTTGAAACTGGTGGCCGCGGAACATTAAAGAACAGCTATACAAATGCGGGTTTTGGTAAGTGAGAAAGAGGGAACTGGTATCCCTGACACAAGCCAATAAGGCGAGCGTAATAAATGGAGAACATAGTGCTGTTTATTAAGCTGAACTGCTTATTCAGCTGCGAAAAGTGGGATAAATGTTCACGTAAATGTGCTCTGGATTGACTTGTTATAAATCCAACAATAAAAGCTTGTTTTGTACTACAATATACATGTGTAGTCATTAAATTTTGCTTCCTCGTGTTTTGGAGTTCTGAAAATTATAGGTTTTGCCTGTAGTTTAATGGGATGATGGCAACTAAACTGGATAATAGAAGTTTACTCCTTTATGCGACGGAAGCTCATATCAATATACAGTATACCGGGGTCAGCAAACTTTTTCAGCAGGGGGCCAGTCCACTGTCCCTCAGACCTTGTGGGGAGCCAAACTACGGTATATTTTTTGGGGGGAAATAAATGAAGGAATTCCTATGCCCCACAAATAACCCAGAGATGCATTTTAAATAAAAGCACACATTCTACTCATGTAAAAACACACTGATTCCCAAACCGTCCGTGGGCTGGATCCGGTCCCCGGGCCCTAGTTCGCCTGCCCATACATAAAATCTGCCTCCAACTCCTATGGGGAAAATAATGAAGCGCAGTTGCTGTGACACCCCCCCCCCCAATATTTCCCTTTCACTACTTCAGCATCAAATTGCTGTATATTGAGGCCCTATATAATGTAGATTAAATCCTTCCTCTCCCAATAATGGTGCTTGCAATCTTTTTATTTCCCCAACATGTTTTTCTGCAGTCACCTCTGTCACAGAGCTAGAAACTTAACCAAGACTGCATGGGGGGGGGGGGTGGAAGTAAAAATGCAGGTCGCAAAACATACCCTGCTTCTTTTCCCAGAACATAAAATATAATCAGTACCTAATAGGTCTTTTCTTTTGTTTTCCTCAGGGACCAACACTCATTGTGTGGGAGATGGTTATAATTTATTAAATGTATACCCCACCCTTCTTCCCCAAAGGAGCCCAGGGAGGCAAACACCCAAACCAATTAAATCTCTGCAAACAACTGCAGATGCAGACTGGGAAAGATCTCTACAGCGGTACCTTAGTTCTCGAACTTAGTACGTTCTGGGAGTCCGTTCAACTCCTGAAACTGTTGAAAAACCAAGGCGTGGCTTCTGATTGGCTGCAGGAGCTTCCTACACTCAAGTGGAAGCCGTGTCGGATGTTCGGCTTCTGAAAATGTTCACAAACCAGAGCACTTACTTCCGGGTTTGTGGCGTTCAGGAGCTGATTTGTTTGGGAGCCAAGCCGTTTGAGTACCAAGGTAGCGCCGTACTTAAAAATCCTTTTGGAAAAGGAAGGTCTTCAGTAGGTGCCAAAGAGACAACAGAGACAGCGCCTGTCTAATATTTAAGGGGAGGGAATTCTGAAGTGCAGGTGAAACAACCTTAAGGCCTGGATCATATAATGTGCAGAAGAGTCCTCCCGATAAGATGGTATCTTCAGGAGGTCCTCACCTGCAGTGATTGGTTGGGTGTATAAGGAGTGAGACAATCTTTCAGGTATCCTTGTCCCAAGCTGTATAGCAGGCATAGGCAAACTCAGCCCTCCAGATGTTTTGGGACTACAACTCCCATGATCCCTAGCTAAAAGGACCAGTGAGGGATGATGGGAAATGTAGTCCCAAAACATCTGGAGGGCCGAGTTTGCCTATGTATATAGAGCTTTCTACACTCTCCAGATGAGTAACTGGATAACCCAACATGTTTCTTTTCACTTCAGAACAACAGAACTGTTTTACTAAACCAAGACAGCTTTGAGAACATCCTGTCAGGCCAGCGGCCCACCCAGTCCAGCATGCTGGTCTTACTGTGGCCAACCAGATGCTTATGGGAAGTGTTGCATGACCCCCCCCCCCGCCCCAAATCATTCAGTTTGTACAAACTCGACACACTCACACACGACATACGCAACGCTTCTGTTATAAATTCATAGAAAATCACCCATATATCGGATCTGCACCGTTCCACTTTTATTTTACTCCATGAAGGAAGGACTGCAAAATGGGTCTGATAGAGGGCAGCCATAATCCCTCGAGCGTACCAACATGTCCACAGGAACCCTACCCAGTTGGCATGCCAACCTTGATGGTCCCAGACAGAAGACCATCACACTCACAAAGGACCTGCATATGGGAGTGGATTCAGCACGGACTGAAACAAAGGACAATGATCAGCTCTCTCCTCTGGGGACAGGAAACTGCAAACTCCCCTTTGTCCTCTGGAAATTACTCATGGGGAGGGGGAAAGGTGGAACCGGTCAGGTGACAAGACACTCAGGTTACCACCACAACTCCTCCCTCAACCCCTCCTCTTTGTGATGTGTCAATGATGTAGTCGTGATGTTGTTATGATGCAGTCTTGGGGGGTGTAGCATGGGGGATTCGTAGCTAATAAAAGTTGGAGTCTTCTTTTGTTCAGGGCTTCCATTTTGTTTCACCTGGTGGCAGGTGGGAGTTCTGTCGCGACAGTCTTCAATAAAGACCAAGCCTACTGGCTGCTGTTTTGCTCTGGTATTCCTGGCTGGTATCCTTGTTTTTTTGTCCAAGGGAGCCCTCAGATTTCTCCGTTAACAGAAGACCATAAGCAGGAGATGAGCTTGATAGCCCTTACTCCTGCAATCGGCATTCAAAAGTATTACTGCCTCCAGCTGCGGAGACAGATCAGTAAAGAAGCAGATAGTTGCCCTTTTCAAATACTTTTGCCAATTACCCCATCCCGATTATGCCTCACCAACACTATAACTGAAGACTTTTGTTGAAGACTCTCTGGTTCAACTCTGACCTAAGAACCACAGGCCTATTCTTTGCTGCCCTCCTGCCATCTTCCTCTGGCTCTCCCACCAGATACCAGAGCCTACCGTTCTTCTAGCTTCCTTGGTCTAGCATAGGGTTACCAGACGTCCCCGGTTCCCGGGGACAGCCCCTGGATTTGCAAATCTGCCCCCGGACAAATTCCGTCCCTGGAATGTCCCCAGATTTGCAAATCTGTCCCCGGGAAACGTGGCAGCAGCAGCCTGGTAGTGCAGTTGGTTCTGGCTGGCTTCAGGAGCTGCTCGCTGCCACGGCGC